CAGTCTGAGTCTGAATAAGGTATCAGCTCATCCATAGTCCCTCCATATGTGATTCCGAAGTCTAGAGTTCCCTTCAGATAGCGGAAAACTCGCTTCAAGGCTGTGACATGCTCAGCAGCCAGATTCTGCACATACTTGCTTAATTCGGTGACAGCATGTGCAATGTCGGGCCAGGATCCATTGGCCGCATACATTAGTGATCCGACACCAGTATGGTAATATTGCCTGGTGGCTGTGTCAATGCCTCGTGGGTCTTCTGTCGGAATTTTCTCTAGCCGTACATTCAGGTCCATAGGCATTTTGACCGGTTTGCAGTCATTCATGCCCATTCACTCAAGTACTTTGAGAATATATGCCTTCTGGGATAGAGTGATAGTGCTCTTGTCCCAATTCCTATCTATCTTCATGCCCAATATATATTGAATCTCCCCCATGTCTGTGACATTTAGCTTCTTCTTAAGCTCTTCTTTCATTTTAGACATGGTTTCATCATCTGGGGCAAGTAATGTCATGTCGTTGACATGTACAGCTACGATTATGGGACTAGAACTCATTTGTCTGATGTACACACATTGATCACTGATCAATCTGATGTAACCAAGTCCCAAAAATGTAGCATTTAATTTGTCATTCCAAACTTGGCCAGATTGCTTGAGTCCATACAATGTTAATTTGAGGTGTGCTGCTTTTTCACTCCCATCTGAATATTCAGGTGGCTGTGCCATGTAAATGGATTCATTGAGTTTACCATTTAAGTAAGCTCCAACAACATCTATTCTATGAATGATTAGGTTTCTTTGAGTGGCAATTGCCATGAGTAGGTGAAATGTGTCCAGCCTGACAACTGGTGCATATGTCTCAAAGAAATCAATGCCAGATACCTGTGAAAATCCTTTTGCAACAAGTCTGGCCTTGTATCTGGTGATTTTCCCATCACCATCCCTTTTCAATCTGTAAGTCCACTTGCAATCCACAAGTGATCTGTCTTTGGGTAATTCTTCCAGTTGCCATGTGTCTAGGGAAGTCAATAGATTGTATTCTTCATCCATTGCTTTCTTCCAATGATGCCAGTCTAGCCTTGTTTTGGCTTCTTCAAGGCTTAATGGCTCATCACTGAGATTGTCTGCAGTTTCCCCAATGCATGCATAGTCTATTGCAACATTTACAGCTTCCAAAGATGATTCTTCTGAGGTATGCTGTTGTTCCGATGTTTTCACAGCTTGTACACTTGGATTATAAAGTGTCTGATAACTCGGTTGAGTCTTTGATGCAATCCAAACTGATTTGTTGCATGGCTCGATCACTTTCTCATGCCATATTGGGAAATTTGATTTGATCAATGACATATCAGGAACTATTTCCCCTTTTGATTTAGCATTTCTGGCATCCATGGAATCATCCAAAATGCCATCATTTCCATCCAGAGTCTGCTTGACTTTGCTCCCTGACTCCCTCTCGAGTGACAAAGGGTGAGAGACTACATAGTCAGTGTCTATAGGCTCTGTAGTGTTGTTTTCAGGGAATATAACATTTCTTGAAGTCTGAATCTGTCTGGTTTGAGGGTTATAATATCTCCAGGCCCTGGATTCATCTGTAAGACCTGTGAAAATAAATTCTCTTGACTTTGGGTCCAGTTTTGACCTCTTGTTATCTTGCTGCAACACCCAGCACTTTACTCTGAATTCCTGAAGTGCCAAAATATCTGGTTTCATGCCCTGAAACACTTCTTCTGAGGTTAAATCATTCTTGATGGCCCTAGTTGGTGATTGGTTCTTCAAATATGTGGCATATGCCACTGCCTTGGGCCATAGAAACTTTGGTAAGTGATATTCTTCTAGCATGGCATGTGCATGCTCCACAAGAGTCCGATTTATTTTCTCAGCAACTCCGTTTTGAGATGGAGAGTATGCTGCAGTCAATTTCAACTGTATGCTATTGTCCTGGAGGTATTCCTTTACCTCTTCATTGACATATTCCTTTCCATTGTCAATCCTCATAAACTTCAGATCCTTCCCTTTGTGGACTTTGATATATTTTTGATACTGCTGGATCTTCTTTCGAATTTCCATACCTTGCTTTGACTTCAAAAAATACAACATTGTCCTTCAGGGTTTTCCATCTGTGAAGCTTATGTAATACCTTTCACCATGGATACTCTGAGTTCAGGCTGGCCCTCATAGATCTGAAAATGTTATTTTCTCTATTTCAGTATAGTCCCTTTTGGCTTCCTGTAGAAATGGCTTAGTATGATGTTTGGCTTTTATGCAAGCTATGCAATCTGTCTGAGGCTCAGCTGACTCATTTATATTCATCCCCTTGACCATTTTCTTCCTAAATAGTCTCTTTATTGATCCCATATTTAAGTGGCCTAATGTTTTGTGCCACTTTTACCATGATTGGGCTGATTTCATAGCATGAGCCTGGGTTATTTCTGAAACAATGATGTCAAGGCTGTACAGCTTTGATATTTTATCTCCATGGCCAATTATCTTACCATGTGGTGAGATAATATCCATTCTGGACTCTTTGAATCTGAGTTCAAATCCAGCATCTGTAATGCATCCTATTGACATAAGATTGAATGGTGCATCAGGACAGTGGATACACTCCTTTAGTGTGACTGGAGTGATCTTTTCCTCTTCAACCATTTTAATCTTGACAGTTCCCCTTCCTAAACCCTTGGTTTTTCCTACACTAATGACTTCATGTCCTGGGATTTCAATATAGTCAGAAAAATATAATCTATTTTTGACTATATGTCTGGTGGTGCCAGAGTCCTCTAGCTATGATACTCCTGAGAGTGAAGTAAGTGCGATGTCTGTTGCACAAAATACATAGTCATCTTCTTCTGAGTCCAATTTGGTAATATGTGCCTGAGTCTGGCCCTTTTCCTTTCCTTTTCATGACTTTCTGGAATTCTTCTTCCCATTTGGGCAATTTATTCTGATGTGACCAGTTTCTCCATATCTGTAACATGTGACTTTTGAATTGGACTTCTTGCCATGTGCTGCAAGTGTCGTAGTCTGATCAGAAGTCTTTTTCTTTAGTCAGATGTCCTCCTGAAGAATTCAGGAAATCAACTTGTAAGAATCTTTCAAGTCAGCAGTATCCACTGATGAGATGAATGAATTCCATGATTCCAGGAGTGATATAAGCAGTGTGATAGAGAAGTCCTCCTCCTCAACTTTCTGCTTAAGGGATGCCAGCTCCTCCTGATAGGACCTCAAAGTCTTAATATGCTCCTCTATGTTTCCTCCTTCTTCACACTGAGCTCTGAAGAATTTCCTTCTGACAAGGATAATTCCCATGGGTCCCCTAGACTCATACATATCTTCCAGAGCTTTCCAGGCTTCTGCTGAAGTCTTTGAACCAGCAATATATACCAGTGGGCCATCAGAAACCTGCAATCTTATTGTTGAAAGAGTCTTCCTATTGCTCTTCTTTCAATCTGCCACCAGTGTCATGTCTGCCAGGGCTGGAATGCTTCCATCTGCATAATCAATCAGTTCTAAATCGGTTAGAATATCAATCATCTTGATTTTCCATGTCGGATAATTTTCTGAGCCCTTAAGGGGGTCAATTCTATACACAGACTGGCTATCCATGTGGTTCTATATGTGTATGTAAAGTATAAAAGAGTGTGAAGTGAGTAGCAATGTAAGTTCAGTTATAGCTGGGGCCCATAACCTGTTGTAAGTAGAGAGCAGAGTAATGTAACAGGGAACTAGAATTAGCCTCTTGAGAGAGAAACATTCTACTTAAATACATTTCATATTATTTTGAGATCTTTCTATGAGATACTAAATAAGTTCAGATCATGATCCAAGTCAGCTACTGCTGACTGGCATCGTATCTTCGAGTACGTTCTCATACTCGCTTGGGATTGCTA